CCCGAGACTAGGAGCCCGCCAGGGCTAAGTAGGAGGGATACCCTAGGGACCCTGCAGGGTTTTAGGGTTGGGGTGGATTGGAAATTGTTCATTGCCTTTCAGTTCCGGGACATGGAAGGACACTGAGTCACCAAACGCCGCCATGGGCCGGAAGCCACCGCCCTAGCCTCAGCTGCAATCTAGAGCGCGGCGTATCCCGTGAGCCCACTGGGGACTACGACTCCCGGCATGCTCCGCGGCCGTCGGAATTAACCCTTCAGGGCTGGGGGCCGCGCTGTGCACCGCCCCCTCCCCAGCCACAGACGCGGACCCCGCAGGGTGAGTTTTTGGGGGCTGAGGAGGGCTGCTTTCTTTAAGGTTTAGTGGGGTGTGTGTGAGGTGTGTGTGTATGTGTGTGTGTCTGTGTGTGATGTATTTTGTAAAAATGGGACAGTTTGCAGTAATGAGATTCAGACACTGTTTTGCGAATGGGAGACCCAGCATCAACCCCGGGGCCTAAGTGGAGTCACTGCTATCTTCCTCAGAATGCTACCTAAATCCTTTCCTAATTTCCCCGAGAACAAAAGTAGGCCGCAACCCCTCCCCACTCCCAAACACCCCCCAACTTGGACTCTCTCCCAGTGCCCCCCGCAAGGTTTGTGACCTGGCCCCTGAGTCGGGATTTTTATTATACCCCTGGTAGTGGGATGAATACTCATGGAGGCCATAGGAGTGCCCACATCCTCTTGGATTAGGGAATTTAAGCCTTCTCCCAGAGCCCGCCCTTCTCGGGTGCCACCACAGGGTCCCCACAGGTTCAGCAAGCGCCCTACCTTTTGTTTGTGTTGAATGACAGTGGTCTTGTGGAAGAAGGTTCCTTCCATGGAAGAATGGGTAGCAGATGTTAAACCTGATCTTTGCCCCCACTCCTTCCCCTAAAACAACACTGCGCACTAGGAGACAATGAGGGATGTCACACTCCTGTTTCTATGACTATTCTTCCTTTATACTGTGAATAGTTTCAATTCTTGGCTGGGTGCGGGCTCAGGAACTACAAGTATTAGGGATTATTAGACTGTAGGGTTAACTACCCCTGCTCTTTACAAAGCCATGGTCAGAAAGGAGTGGAGGGGCTGGGCAGATGGGCTGCTTGTTTTTGTCATTGCTCCCAGACCACACTTTAACTTGTTCCAGTTCACACAAGCCTCCCTGACTGCTACCCCTCACCCCACCCTTCGAGAAGACTAAAGCTGCTGGATCACCTGCTTTGCCTCACCAACCCCATCTCAGTGCAAGCATCCGATCCTCACCCTGGAGGTTAACTACCTCTCATTCTGGGCAGTCCCTGGCTTCCTCCCCTGCCCCCAAAGGAAACATTGTTCTTTTCTGGACAGCCTTTGGGGATGAGGGGACAGAGGGAAGAAGACCTTGGGGCAGGAGTCCTGAACCATAGGAGGCCAGGGGAGTGAGGGCAGACGGTTATATCTCTCCTCTACCTCATCCTCGCCACAGCCAACTGGCTCCCTGCCCCTGCCCCCGCCCCTTGACATCCCAGACTCCCTGGCTATTTAAACAGAGATGGGTGCCCCCATCCGCACACTGTCCTTTGGCCACCGGACATCATGCCTCCCAAGAAGGATGTTCCCGTGAAGAAACCAGCAGGGCCCTCCATCTCCAAACCTGCTGCTAAGCCAGCAGCAGCAGCAGCAGGGGCTCCTCCAGCCAAGAGCAAAGCTGAGCCAGCTGTCCCCCAGGCCCCTCAGAAAACCCAGGAGCCTCCAATCGATCTCTCCAAAGTGGTGGTGAGTCTCTGGAAAGTGAAGATAATTGGAGGGGGTGGTTTGAGGGTGAGATACAGCCTAGGGGATTAGGGGGTATCTAGAAGGTAGGGAATCAATGAACCCTGGAATGAGATTGGGGCTTTCCCTTAGTCCCCCATTTGGAAGCATCCAGGCTTATGACTCTGCTGTTGTCTTTGCTGTTCTCTCCCTCTAACCTATAACCATGTGTGTACAGCACATGCACACTCACTTACCCCCTGCTGGAGGCAGGGACTCTTAGATGGGGAACATCTGGGTTCTGAGGATAGTTTCAAGGTGAAGGGAAAAGAGCTGTTGCCTGCCCCTGGCTGGTGATTCAACTCAAAAGGCCTGCAGCTCTGAACTCCAGGAAGGGAGGCTGAAGAGGACAGACTTGTTAGACAATCACAGCTGGGGGCCAGGGGTAAATTTAGCCTTTGTTCAGCCCCCAGTTATGTGAGGGATGCAGGGCTCAGGGCAATGGAGGGAGGGAAACAGGTGGCATGGGATTAACCCTGTTCCCAGGAAACCCTCCCCACTGTAATTCCTCTTCTTGGGATTCTCCCAAGTCCCAGAGCTGGGAATGGGACTGAGGTGGCTGGGCTTCCAGCCTGGTCCCTTTGGGCCCCTCCTCAGAAGTGGCTGCCAGTTGGTTGGGAAGAGTGCTGGAGAGGGACTGAATAAACTGTCATCTCTCCCCACCTGCTTTTTTCTTCCACAGATCGAGTTTAACAAGGACCAGCTGGAGGGTGAGGAGAAGCTGGTCTAAGCCCACTGTCCAGTCCCCAATCCCCTGGTCAGATTCTCTTTCTATTCCACTAACCCCAGTCCCGACCTTGAAACCTCCCATACTAGTCTTCTTTTCCTCCCTTGTTCTGTTCACATAGTTTCTGAAATTCACTTCTGTCTGGGGGTGATGGGAACCCCTAGTCAGTGTCTACACTGACCCTTCCTTATACCTTAGAGTTCAAGGAGGCCTTCGAGCTGTTTGACCGAGTGGGGGATGGCAAGATCCTGTACAGCCAGTGTGGGGACGTGATGAGGGCCCTGGGCCAGAACCCCACCAACGCCGAGGTGCTCAAGGTCCTGGGGAACCCCAAGAGTGATGGTGAGGGGACCCTTGGAACAATTCGGGTTTTTAGTTTTCAAAAGTTGAATGTTGGTAACAAAGAATGAGGTGGATCTCAGGACTTCAAAAACTGTCAAACACAGAAGCAGGAAAATATCCTAAATGCTGAACAGGATGAAAGCATTGTGGTAGGGTTGGGAGCCGGGTCCTATGTGATACTACAGTGACCTCTCCTTCATCTCTCTCCAACCTCCAGAGCTGAAGTCCCGGCGTGTGGACTTTGAAACTTTCCTGCCCATGCTCCAGGCAGTGGCCAAGAACCGGGACCAAGGCACATATGAGGACTACTTGGAGGGGCTTCGTGTGTTTGACAAGGAGGGGGACGGCAAAGTCATGGGAGCAGAGCTCAGACATGTTCTCACCACCCTCGGTGAGGCAGGCAAGGGGGACCAGAACTACTTTAGAGTGGAGAGGGGAATGGGGTGGGCCAGAAAAAAGACTGGCCAGATAAGCAGAGCCAGCAGGAGGATTACTATCCTGCAGGTTGTCGGCAGGAGACTGAGAAGGTCAGAGCTGTGGGGGTAGAATCTGAAGGACTTGCTCTTCCAGAGTCTAAAGTGCCTTCCAGAGGACAGAGGAAAAGGGATGAGGCAGGAAATCTGAATTTTCGTTTTGGAAGAGACGTGTGGGTTGTGTGTTCTGGTACAAGTCTCTTAACCTCCTGGAATTGTTTCCTTGTCAGTCAATACTTTCACTAGTACTAGGGTGAAATGGAAAGCAAGAGGCATCCATGACTAGGGAGGATTCCCTTGAGGACTGAGGCTATGAGAAATCGTCAGGGTGGGAGACTCTAAAGAGTGTGGCCTGGCCAGGTGCGGTGGCTCACGCCTCTAATCCCAGCATTTTGGGAGGCCAAGGCGGGCGGATCACCTGAGCTCAGGAGTTCGAGACCAGCCTGGCCAACAGGGTGAAACCCCATCTCTATTAGTAATACAAAAATTAGGTGGGCATGGTGGCACGTGCCTGTAGTCCCAGCTACCCAGGAGGCTGAGGCAGAAGAATCGCTGGAACCCGGGAG